TCTCTCTCTCTCTCTCTCTCTCTCTCTCTCTCTCTCTCTCTCTCTCTCTCTCTCTCTCTATCTATCTATCTATCTATCTATCTATCTATCTATCTATCTATCTATCTATCTCTTTTGCGATCTCAATCGGACTCGTACGGGGTGCACTCCTCATCCAATGACTGCGGGGTGCCATCAACTGAATCGGGGTCATCATCAGAGATGACAACACGTTTGCGAGGTTTGCTTTCCCCATTGCGAGTCCTTCCCGGGCGACGTCCCTTTTGGTTTGGGGATGTTGCCACGGTCTTCTTCTTTTCGGGCCTCCCGGGTCCACGATGGGGTGCTGACGCTTCCTTCTCCACCAACGCCTTCCTCTTTCTCCCTGCTCTGCTTTTCCAGAGGTTGTCATGCTGGACAGCCTCATTCATGGCAGGCATTGGGGGCATTCTGATCTCCTATGCAGCCTCCTGCTCCTCCTGCTTCTCCGCGTCTGCGGCTTGCTGAGCCGTTTACTGCTCCACCACTTCCACCTCCTGCACTGCATCTGGGCGGGGCCTGCGTTTTTATACCACCCCCGTTGTAGGCTGCTCTTCCACTACTTCCCCATTCTACTCTAGGTGCTGCTCATTCCTCTCTGTTGTCGCCTCCAAATCCCCCTTCTCATGCTGCATGTGCACATCGTCTGCTCCTTTCGCTTCGTCCCCCTCTTCCCTGCTTCCATGGGTGTCTCGGTCTTCTCCCCAACCCCCCTGTCCACATCCTCCACATGTTGATCTTTGAGCTGGTCCTGCTGTTCGACACGTCTCTCTCTCTCCCTACGGGTGGGGACCGCAGCACAACGCGCCTCCTCCTCGCACATGCGTCTCTTCACAAGATCAACCTCCTTATCCGCCATTGCCTTCGCACCTGCAGCCTCCTCTTCATCGGCATCGTTCATGGGCCGCAGCAAGGTCTCCACATCCGTATCCAGTCTATTAACGATCGATGTCGGCTCCACCTCGAGATCCCTTTCCCCCCGCCCCAATCGCCTGCCCACATATGTGGTCCCCTGGACTGCTGGTACCGCATCGAGCTCGAAATCTGAGTCCCCGACCTCCTCTTCGCTGCAGTCCTCCGAAGATGATTCGTT